TTTTTAATTTGCTGCGCATTTTCATTTTGTTTCTGCTTTTTCTTTTGCGTGTGTTTTTTTAATTTGCTGCGCATTTTCATTTTGTTTCTGCTTTTTCTTTTGCGTGTGTTTTTTTAATTTGCTGCGCATTTTCATTTTGTTTCTGCTTTTTCTTTTGTGTGTGTTTTTTTAATTTGCTGCGCATTTTCATTTTGTTTCTGCTTTTTCTTTTGTGTGTGTTTTGTCTCTAGGGGCCACCGTACTTTGTTATTCCCCAGCGTTAGATTCTGTTTTCCGTGTTTCTTTGTCAGTTCTTAGCTTCCCTGTTTAGTTTCTGAGTTCCTTGAGTTTAATTATTAGTTTCAATTGCTTCCCGTTTTCTTGTGCCAGGCCTTGTGTCCCACCCCCTTCCTGATTGGTTAATTGTTTCATGTCTCACTCCTCCTGTGTTGTTACCTGGTTCAATTGTGTATTTAGGTTCCTTCCTTAGTTCAGTTCCTGAGTGGGTCATTGTTGTTGCATGTCAGTTGTGCAGCTCTATTGTGTATTCCAGAGTGTTGTGTATTTTGTACGTTGCCTGCCAACCTGCTCCTTGTTGCCATAACCCTTTTGTAGTTTGTCTTTGTTATCCCCTTTTTAGTTTTGACCCCTCTTGGTCCGTTTTTGTTCAGTAGTGTTTCTAGTGTTTTCAGCTTTGATAATAAATCCCTGTCGTGTCCTGTGAGCCCCCAGTTGGTCGTCCAACTTCCTGCCTGCACCACACCTCGCCCCCGTGCCAGAACCTCCCGAGTCCTTGACAATGTATCATTATTGGTGCGATAACAGGAATCTTGAATCTAGTAATAATAAAAATCGACGAAATGTTTACGACATGAAATGTTCGCATGTAATAGCTAGTTAAATGGTGTACCTTTCAGAGTACAATTACGTGCCAATAACCTTAAGGGTCTGCCAAGTGTACCCTATAACTTTAGGGAAATGTACCTTTTAAGGTACAGAAATTAACTACCATTGGTGGTACATTAATGTTGTTTGTAAATTTGGGAACAGAACTGCAGCAGGGTTGTTCCCTTTTGTCCCAGTCGCCTGTACCCATATCTGCGTCATTGTGTCATAGCAACCCGATCTCACGAATTTTCGTGCAGCCATCACGACATAAAATCAACCCGATCTCACGAATTTTCGTGCAGCCATCACGACATAAAATCTATTTAAACGTGCTGTGATCACGTTTTTTACGTGCTGGGGTAACGTTTCCCCTCCCTATGTGTTTTAATGGGCAGTGCCTAACACCGCCACTATGAGCCCTAACTGGTGACTAAGGGACGGGAAAGTCATGCATGCCCAGAATCATATTTTGTTTTTTGTGATCTGATAACGCTTTCCATAACGTGTGACGCGACCTTGCAAAACAGCGCTTGGATTTTACTTCTGTTAATAATTGCTTTTGAATAATGTCCGGGATTTCCCTCCATACACTAACTCATTCATGCAACAGAAGTAAAATCCAAGCGCTGTTTTGCAAGGTCGCGTCACACGTTATGGAAATACGAAACTACAATAAAATCCTTCCCTACCCATTAACTAAGCTATTTGTAGGTTACCCATTTCCAGTATGGCTTTTGCATCTGTCTCTATGTAAGCAAGGTATTAAACAAATCGTTAGATGGTTTGATCGTTTCCTTTTAATGTTGTTTTTTTGTCATTAAATGTGGGCGTTTAAGTTTGTAGCCGCAACGAGAAAATCATTATAAACACCGATTTCTTTGAATCTCCATAAATAATTGACTGATGTTTAGCGGTAATTACGGGAATAACTGAACTGTGTATGCAAGTTAAGACTGAGTAACTAGCGAACCCTAAGTGATGGAGAACTGGTATTCGGTAGGCTATAATGTAAATCAAGAAATAACCCTAGTAATTATCAATCTGCGTATGTGTAACATCTGAACTATAAGTTATCATTATCCTGTCATAGCTATATATAGACCTGCTAATATAAAGTGCCGGGTCTTTTTATTGAGCAGGAGATGAACAGTAAATCGGTTTCGTTTTCTCCTGTAAACCCCGCCTATATACCGCCTCAGCGTCGCTCCACCAACTCGACGAGGAAATAAGTTAGTTTCTGACTATCGCAGCGAACCCCAGCGCCTTCAGTATAGGGGCAAAATGCGCTCGATCCTTTCCTCTCAAGGCTGCTTTTTCTCAGTCCTGTACATTTTTTCAGGTCGGTGTATATTTATACTTTTTCCAATAAAATACCTGATGTAATCGTACTGTGCTATTATACAGGATGTATTAAGAAGTCGACATTTACCTTAAGTTTCGACATGCGATTTATAGATGACTTGGTTTTGTATAGCTATACTACATAGGACAGCCCTACAATTTTAATGTAAATGTTAAATCGGATACTGGAAACAAATCTAATGAAATCTACAAGTTACACATATACCTATATGGCCAAATTCGCATATAGGCCTATACATATATCTGTTTTATATACGTCGTGTATGTGCGTGTGTGTAAGTATGTATAACGAAACGAAAGCTGTCACAACTGGGAAATTCAGATGTATTCTCGTAATAGTGTCACTTTGAATCTCAGAATGGTGTCGTGGTAAATGAATATTACGGGGAAGTGAACAGTTTAAACGCGTTTTTTCCTTCTCTCCCCGCAAGTTTCTCTCGCCCGGTTTGAGACGTGAAAACCCCGACATTTGGTTTAAATTAATTGCCTTAGTGCGGAGGCTGACCGGCGCGCGGGGTCTGCGCTCGACTTACGGCAGATCTCAGCCTCCAATTTAGGCTGTTCTATTAATGTTGAATAATACGGTCAAAAATAATACCATGTCTGGATACGGTATGGTAAGGAAATGTATTTCAGTGTGCACTAGTATTTCTCTGCCTTTCATTTAGTTCTTGTGAACTGAAAGCCTATATTACAGTCCTTGTTCAAATCTGTTCAAATGTAAATTGGCATTGATTGATGCCATGGGGAATTGGTCAGTTCTTCTACAGTTAGTAATAATTGTGGTTCTTCTGTAGTCTTTATTTCTAATCGAAGCAAGTCACGGTTTTGTCAGAAATTAGCCGTTTGTTTGTGCTGCACGGGTATTTCCCAGAGGAACATCTTTCAAATCTGAAAACCTGATTAACCAATTTAGGACAAACTGAGCGTAACTGTCATGATTGTCCTTTAAATACACATTTGCCATCGAAAGCAGCGTTGGTAGCCGTCTGGTTTTGATGTTGCTTAAGACGCATTTCTCTGTAAGGTGAGTTTTTATAGGCAGGGAATGACAACTGGTATGCAAGTATAAGCCAAGCATTCGCGGTATGTATGTTAAAATGTGTCGCAATATCTTGTCATCACAACACAATGTGCATAAAATAACTTTTAACCAACAGTACCAGTCAAAAGTTTGGACAAACCTACGCATAGAAAGCTTTATTTGTACTATTCTCTACATTTTACCATAATTATAAAGAGATCACAACTATAAAATAACATATGTGGAATTATACACTGACCAAAAAAAAGTAATAATCTGCTTGGGGTGGAGGCAGCTCTGTGAGTTGGGACTCACAGAAGGTTGCTGGTTCACATCCCTGGGTCAGTAGAGTGATCCCACCATTGGGCCCCAAAATAAGGCCCTTAACCCCAGTTGCTCCAGGGACTGGCTGACCCTGCCGTCTCCTCTACACCAGTGCCATGAGGTGGCCTCCTGGGATGCTTTTCCAGCTCTCCTGAAGGAGGTCCCACATAAATGCTGAGCACTGATTGGCCGCTTTCCCTTCACTCTCTGGTCAAACTTCTTCAAAGCCATTTGTCCTGTGTTTAGTTCAGGTGGCCAGGTCATGTGATGTGACACTGTCGCTCTCCTTTATAGGCAGCTTGGCGTGTCCAAACTTTTGACGGGTGTACTTGGCTGCCAGTTAGGTCAAACCCTGCTTATAGGAGTTTTTTTAAATGATGCTTTAATAATGGTACAGTGGAATATTTTATTGAAGTAATTCAAGTTTATTACATTGCTAAAGCAGAAGACCATTACGGTTCTCCCTGGTTCCGTGAAGCTCTATGCTATCAGATGCGGTGTGCAAAGATACCAGCTGTATTATGGACAGATTAGATCAGGGCTGCTCGTTCCTGCTCCTGGAGATCTGCCACCTCACAGAGTTTAGATGCAGTGAAAACACACACCTGATAGAGGTAACCAGGCCCTTAAGTAGCATCTCAGTATTAGTCAGCTTAGCTTCAACATTGCTGATTCTATTCATTCCTTATTGGTCATGGCTTAGAACATGTAATAAATGTAAATAAGTAAAACGTAAACACAAGACATGAGAAAAGAATACAGTCAAACACACGATTAGGTGGGAAGGACTGTAAAAATGAACAATGGAATGAACAGAAGGGACATATATATATATATAAATCAGAATGCACCTGTGTTCCACAGTGGCTCTGGCTGCAGTTCCCGAACCTGAGAATGTGACGGTGGTGTCATACAACATGGGTGCCGTTCTGGAGTGGGACTACCCTCACAACGCATCAGAGGGAGTCCGGTACACAGCTCAGTTCAGGTAAGTCATGGATGCCCGTGCAGATATATCCCCTGGTGGAGGAGACACTTCAACCTTCACAGTAGTCTTAGCTGCAACTTATGCAAACTGTTCAGTAGTTTAAATTTACTTTAAGGTGCAGCCACAGGTCTGTCACCGTAGGCGCCGTACGAAGGTTTTTTTTTGTTTGTTTTTTTTTTTTTGCTTTTGCGACAAGGATTTAAAAACACTTTTCTTTTTTTTAAGTGAGTGTTTATTTTGACATTTTCCATTCCCATTAAATGTCAGCCAGCCAGTTGTCATCGCCTTGTCTCGCAATGATTAAGTGGGGACGGGGGCCGGAGGGGGCGGAACAGAAAGGAAAGAAAAAGACAATAAGAGGGTTGGTCTCCATGCTGGGAAACAACAGGAAGTTTCTTCTGCACTAGCAGCATGAAGATCCAACCACAAAGTACATACACACAGGTGCAGATAGAACAGATAAAAACACACTCATGGAACAAGTTGCTATAGCTACGATGCAGCACTGTTCTTCATCTAGTAGGCAGGTGACTTCCTTTGTTTTAAAACTGTCTTTCTCATGGCATTTCCTCAGTGTGGAATCACTGGTGGTGTTTAACCTCTTTGTTGCACACAGGGTCCATCTATGGCTTCAGTCATTCATTGACCCCCCTCCCCCCAATCAACCCACTGTCCTGTTGTGATTCGCAGAAGTCATACTCCGAAATATGATCCAGTCTGCCAGAGTCAGCAGGACAGGAAGTGTGATTTCACCTATAAGATTCATCATTTTGGAGTTTACACTTTTCGAGTGCAAGCAGAGCTCCAGGGCAACGTGTCCGCCTGGGTAAACACCACGGAATTCACCCCTGATCGACAGAGTAAGCACACCATCATTCTGATCAGTACTAGTTTTTTTTTTATTATTATTACTGAAGAAATTTTACATTTAAAATTTAAGGAATAACTGGAATCCTCCTGGGGTTCCTCTTTTCCCACAATGCCCCCTGCTGCCCATGGAATAAGCTGACACTAGTGATGGCCAATTGAAGCTTCACAAACCGTTTCGTGTATTTTCTGACCCCACTAGATGGTGCTCTCTGTTCAAAAAAGGGGCTCGGAGCATGCCCCAAAATTACCAAGAGCACCATCTAGTGGAGCCGAAAAATACATCAAATAGTTCATGAAGCACCATTTGGCCATCACTAGCTGACGCATGTGACTGTTCCCTGGAGGGGCCACAGGGGATGGTGCTTGGGTGTAATCAATGTAGTCAGCCCCCCTCCATGAAGTTGAGCCTAATGTCAATATAGTCTGCTTCTCCAAATGGGTCACAGAATTAGCTGAGTAAAGGGGTGGAACCTGAAAAGCAGTGGCAAATTGAATCCTTTATTGACTCTTAACCCCCTGCCCATTGGCCAAACTGTTTTTCTCTTCAGCCATCATTGGTCCACCTGCCGTGAGCCTGCACTCTAAGGCAGGGGACATGGAAGTCAGTCTCCAGGACCCTGTGCTGATGGGATCCATGTTAAAGGACGTGTACACCAACATCATTTACAATCTCTCTTACTGGAAGGAAGGTCAGGAGAAGGTACGGCAAATGTCGTAATCATCAGCATCTTTTTATAGAGGCAGGAAAGACCATTTAGCGTAGCAAACGTGAATTCTGCTCTTCATCCTTTTCAACCACTTATAACATGAAAAAGCATTACTGCATCCTTTTACGTTTCCAACAAATTAACATTTTACCACAAATGTACTGAGTCCCTCCTGTTCTCCAAAGGGAAGTCCCGATCCATTATACTTTTTTGGTACCCCGACCCCAATCCACTTTGCTATAATACCATATATTAGCAATTTAGTAGCGAGGAAATTTCACGAATGGACTTGCACAGGCAGCATCCTATCACGGTACCACACTTGAATCCACTGAGCTCCTGAGAGCGACCCATTCTTTCCCAAATGTTTGTATAAGCAGTCTGCATGGCTAGCTGCTTG